ACCCATAATGGATTGACCTGCTGGATGGGCGGGTTGACTCAACCCAATTCCCTACCCTAAGTATGAGGCTCCCACCTCATTGCTCTCCCTCAATATCCATCCTTATGATGACCCACATTTGTCTATGCATGTGAAACCCCATTTCTATTCTAAAAACTGTTGGGTTTAAGTGGCTTTTAAAGACCTCATGAGTGTATATTAAAATATTTTTATTATAGTGAAACATAACTCAGTGGGAGTGTGGTCCCTCGAGGACCATACTAAGCGAATGATGTTTGTTTATACCGGATTGTGTTTATCAATGTAGGCCAGTTGGTTGGAAAACCCAAGGTACATGGGCATAAAAAATTAAATCGAAGAGGGTTTGGAGTTAGCCCTTGATGAGGTTGGAGCTTATGCCTAGATGAGTGAGCCGAGAGACTGTGTGACCCTTGTGTGTGATGGTAGGCTAGCTGAGACGGGGGCTAAAACCTCATCCATGTTCTATCACACGGCATGCATATCGATAGATCATTCGAAAAAGCCAGATATCTACCTTTGGGTGAAGCTTATGCATGCGCGAGAGATACCCATATGCACCATAGAGCTGTGGTCGTATCAGGTCGTGGTGACCTTGACTCGTCTCTAGGAGAGGACCTGTAATCCACAGACTGGGATTGCAACCCCTTGATTCATCGACCTGACTTTAGTGACCTGCTAATGAACCCCTGCTTGGACTATGGGTCATGGGAAATATTGGGTCGGTTCAATAAAGCTAATGTGGTCTATAGTCCACAGTTGAAGGTAGAGTACCTCATTATTACAGATTGAATTCTTAAAACCATATGGATCATTTTCCCATCATATTAATTTAATTGTGTTCATTTTTTTATTGAAATAATTTTAGTTTTATTTTATTTTAAATCTCTCAATATTTTATTTGTGATTTTTGGACTTATAAAAATACAGTTATTATTCTTATAAAGTTATGAAAATTCAAATATATATTTTAAATTGTTTTATTCAATTTTAAAATAATATATTTTTATAAAAATTCTATAGGGGCCTATAGTGCACATGGGCCCACTATGTAGCATGTGGGTGGGGGCCCACATAGGGGTGGCATGCCCCACCCTCTTGAATACTCTTTGTTAGATTTGGTTCTACGTTGTTTAAATTTTGAAATAGCATCTCATGTCATATGGCCATATCTTGGAAAGGGAATATTGACTATGACTTATTTTGTATTTTAGCTAGTTTGTTTTAAATGGATATTGTCAATTTGAATAGATAGTAAATATTGACTTTATTTTATTCATATTTGTTGGTATTTATTTACTTGATATTTCTTGATATAGTCTTATGGAATATGTGAGATGGATCATGCAATTTTGTGGAATGCATGATATTTATTTTATTTAAATATATTGATGGAAAAATGGTTTAAGGAAAGGGGATAATGGTCTAAGCATCTTCCATAATGTTGATGGCCCATCTATAGAATGGATGACTCATATCTCTCACCCCACAAGTCACCTTGATCAACGGTCTAGATTCAATATCATGAAAGAGGCAAACTATGGAAAAACCCTAAACTTAAATATCCACTATAAATAAGGGTGCTCTCCCCCCAATCTCTATACACACACAATCTCTCTTTTTTCTCTCTCACCTCTCTCTCTCCTAGAGGGGCACGCCCCACTCTTTCTCCTATATATTTATCTCTCCAATTTTCTCTCTCCAAAATCCTAGATAGTACTCTCTCTCCTCTCTAGACCTAAGTTAATTTTAAAGGTTAGAAAAATTAGAGGGGGCCTAAGTTAATTTTGGGGGTTGAGGTTTAGTAGATATTTTAAGGGGTGGTTACCTAGTTTGGCCGAAATCAGCTATCTCGGTTCAAGATTGAAGTTAGACCACAGATCCCGTGCCATTGGATGTGATGACTCAGTGTGGGGTGTAAAAAGCCCGGTTGAGGTAATCTCCGGTATCTTTTTTTTTACTTGTTTGTTCTTTTATTTTATATTCTCAAGCTCAGTATTAGGTTGTATGAATGGCATGAGGTAGTTGTGATTTATTTTATTGATGTGTTATTTATTTTTAGAATTTCTATTGTTTGTAATAAGACCATCTCTGAGTAATCTTGTTGCCAAAATTATGAGGGGTGATTATTATTAAAACAAAAATTGTATTTCCCCGACAAAAGATCACATAGGTCTTTATTTCAAAAAATGGATTGGAGATCTTAAAATGATGCAAATTCGACTGTCTAGGGTCTATTGACATAGAAGGTCCAAAGTTGCACGTTGAGTTGGTATTAAATATTAGGTAATTTTAGGGTTTCAAATCCATTTTCTGACCTACAAAGTGGATAAAACACTTGTGAATATTACTTGTTAATTTTTCTGACCTTCATATGCCTATGAATATTACTTCATTACATTATTGCTATTGGTACAACCCTTGTGGGCAACTATAGTGGGGCTCTTAATTTTCCTGAAAAGTAAATTTTGATATGAATCATTGTAGGAATGTCAACTCTTCGTTTTCCATCAGTTCCAAATCTTAGGGGTGGCAATTGAGTCGGGTCGACGGGCTGACTAGACAGATTGCCTCGACATCGGTCCAGATCTGGCAATGGCTCAAGTCTAGGTCCATATGACCTAAGACATGGTGGGCAAGGTCGGTGTCCATATGACCTGGACCTAACATGGGTAGGGGTTGGGTGTGGGTCTATCCTCGACATTATCAAATATGGTTGGGTACAGGTTGACCTTGACCC